GTCACCCCAAGATGTCCTCCAGTAGTTCCATCATGGATTTCCTGCAGCACTTCTGGTATCCTGTTTTTGGGGATTATTATCTGCTTCCGGTCTTCCCCCCCTTCTGGCATCTCCAGATCGCGCTTTAGAAGCCCGTCATTTAAGATGATGGAATTCTATTGGGCCCAGTACGATTTCACATTCGGCGAATATTGGTCTACTTCCTGCCACGTTGGTTTACGGTCGTTCTTCTTCCAATCGATGATAAGCTTCAAATCCGGGTCCCTTTCCTGGTCTTGTTGAACCTCAGCGGATTGCCAATGATCATCCACGATTGTAGTCCTGCGAACAAACACATCCTTTTCTTCGGCCTTGAGACAATGTTTACAGTCTTCCGGGCACGGTCTTCTTGACAAGGCGTCAGCATTTCTATGGATGGTCCCAGCCCGATGTTCTGTGTCAAAGTCGAACTCCTGTAGTCTCTCAATCCATCTTGCTACCTGTCCTTCAGGATTCTTGAATTGCAAAAGCCATTGTAGGGCAGCATGATCCGTTCTTAGCAAGAATTGTCTTCCATACAGATACTTGTAAAAGTGTTCGACTGATTTTACCACTGCCAACAGCTCGCGTCGAGTAACACAGTAATTTCGCTCTGGTTTCGATAAAGTTTTACTGAAGTATCCAATAACTTTCTCTTTTCCTTCTTGAATCTGCGACAAAACAGCTCCCAGGCCCAGATTGCTGGCGTCCGTGTCCAAAATAAATTCACCATCCGGAAGAGGATAACTTAGGACTGGTGAGCTGGTCAACGCGTTTTTCAGGTTTTTAATGGCTTCTTGGCATTCGTCGTCCCATTGGAATCGTCTTTCTCCCTCTGTTAAACGTGTCAAAGGCTTAGCAACCTTTGCGAATCCTGGTACGTACCGACGGTAGTAGGTGCATAATCCAAGAAAGCTTCTTAAGTCATGTTTGTTTTTCGGTATTAGCCATTCCCGCACCGTCTTCACCTTCTGTTTGTCCACTGCCACTCCTTGACTCGAAACAACCTGGCCCAAATACTGCACTTCCCTCTGGAACAAGTGACATTTCTTCGGGCTTAGCTTCAGGCCGGAACTTCTTAAGCGCTGAAAGACTTCCTCCAGGTTCTTCATATGGTCCTCAAATGATTTCCCCACCACAATGATGTCGTCAAGGTACACCAAGCATGTCTTCCAGGATAGTCCCTTCAAAACCATTTCCATGAGCCTTTCGAAAGTTGCAGGCGCATTACATAGTCCAAACGGCATGACAGTAAACTGCCACAGTCCTGCACCCACGGTAAACGCCGTCTTCTCTCTATCTTCTGGTGCCATTTCAACTTGCCAATAACCGCTCTTTAAATCCAAAGTTGAAAATATCTGCGATCCAGCCAATGTGTCCAGGGTGTCATCGATCCTAGGTAGAGGGTAGCTGTCCTTCTTCATCACGTTGTTCAGCTGACGAAAATCGACGCAAAATCGAGTTGATCCATCCTTTTTCTTAACTAACACCACTGGGGAAGACCATGGGCTGTTGGATGGTTCGATCACCCCTTCCTTCTCCATTTCTTGCACAATTTTATCAGCTTCCTCTCGCTTGGCAAGTGGTAGCCTTCTTGCCGACTGTCGAATGGGCTGTGCATCACCGGTGTTAATTTTATGCTGGACAATTCTTGTCCTACCCTTCTTTCCTTGTCCGTCGTCAAAGACATCCTGATAATTGTGAATCAGCTCTTTCAGCTTTATCCTTTCATTGGGTTTTAAATCCTTTGAAGAAGTCGACAGAAGATTCATCAATTCATTGCTAACTTTCTTGGCCGGAACTGCTGACTCACGAATGCCTCTAATAATCGAGGAAACTGAAGAACAGTTTCCCAAAACGATTCCTTTCTTCAAGTTCACAGAGTAACCATTAACATTCAATACTCTTACAGGCACTTCTTTTCCGACGCGTATTAAAGTCTTCCCTACTACAATTCCTCGACCGACCTCTTTGTCATCAATTCTCGGCTCCAGAAGCATTATACTTCCATCTTCCGATTTACAATCCAAGAAAGCCTTCAATATCATCTCGCTGTGTTCCGGTATCAAAGCATCTTCTGTTAGCATTACACGAATATTCTTCTCTTTAGATCGATGCAACACGACTTCCTCTCCATTTACCCTCAATATTCCTTGCTTAAAGTTCAGTTCAAATCCTATCGAGTTCATAATGTCCATGCCTACAATAACTTCATCTTCAATATCTGCAACTAATGCTCGATGTTTAAATTTCGTGTTTCCTATGACCATCATGATGTCCACTTCTCCACGAACAGTAGCGGTTTCTCCTGTTGCAGTACGTAGTCGCCGATTGGTAGATTTGATCTTGGACATTTCGACAATATCTGGCCTAATAATTGTCTTCGTCGCACCTGTATCCAGCAGCAGCACATGTAATTAAACCATCCACAAAAACACTGCTGGACTGGTGTAGAAGAGATGCAACACGTTCGATATCTTCTGGGGCATGCTGGTTACAGGTCGACGGTGGCCCCTTTTCCTCGACCCTATCTAGTTTTCCGACTGAGTTGAAGTCGGCGCCTCCTGGCTTTTTCTGCAACGACTTCGTATATGTCCTAGTTTTCCACATCTCCAACACCGGATTTCCTTCTTCTCTGGTAAATTTTCTTTAAAAACTCGCCTGATTGCTTCAATTATACTGGGTTCCTCCTCTTCCTCCTCCTCGACTCTCCTTATTCTAGGCTGGCTCCTGCAGCTCTGTTTTGCCGCCTCGAATTCCAAAGCTCGAGCCAATGCATCAACCAGTTGGCTCGGACGAGCCAGTGTTAGAGCCTGTCTTGTTTCGTTGTCTCGAAGTCCATCCAAAAAGGCTTGAACCGCTAATCGTTCCATAACGGTCGTTGGAGTAGCTGGATATGCTAGCCGGACCAAGCGTGCAATATCAGCCTCGAATTCTTGTAAAGTCTCATTTGATTTCTGGCAGCGGTTCTTTAGTTGGGAATGGTACACATGTTCCAGATGTGTCTGGCCATATCGCAGTTCCAGGTGTTTCACCAAGGCTTCGTAATCTTCTTGTTCGTTTGAAGAAAGTGTCTGCAAGATGTCCGTTGCATCTCCGCGTAAAGCAAGAGTTAATGCTGTAGCCTTTTCCTCTGGTAGCCAGCCATTTGCTTTTGCTGCTGCCTCGAACTGACGGATGTAGTTGGTCCAAGAAGTTTTTCCATCGAACTGAGGTGGTTTCATCCGGAGTCGGCTCCCCTCCTGCACTGTTCCTGGTTCCGCCAGCATCATGGGTAGATTTACAGCTTTCAATTTACTATTTATTTCTCTAATTTTGACTTTCAATTTCTCGTTCAATTTTTCTTCTCTTGTATCCAATTCCCTCATTACGTTATTCAATTCCATCCTTACATCGTCAACTTTCTGTCCTACTTTCTCTTCTAATTCCATCCTTACATCGTCAACTTTTTGTCCCACTTTCTCTTCTAATTCATTGACATTTTCTAGAATCTTCTGTTCCAAATATTCCTTTAAATTTTTGGAATTTTCTAGCATTTTCTGTTGAAAATCGTTGGAATTTTCCAGCATTTTCTGTTGCAAATCATCCTTTAAATCGTTGACATTTTCCAGAATCTTTTGTTGTAAATCGACTTTCAAATCGCTAGAATTTTCCAGCATTTTCTGTTGTAACTCGTTAGAATTTTCTAGCATTCTCTGTTGTAAGTCCTTAGAATTTTCTAGCATTTTCTGTTGTAAATCGCTACAATTTTCCAGAATGTTCTGTTTTAAATCACCTTTCAAATTTTGCAACAATAAATGCATATCACACGAACCTTCAAATAAATACGTATCTGGATTTTCACCCTCTTGTTCCAACGCTTCTCGAAGCCGCTGCTGCAACACATTCTTTTTCCCAGTTGTATCACATTCCCTTTCTTCTAGCTCCCGCTTAAGGTCCGCCACTTTTAAGTCCATTAACGAAACCATTTTCGCGAAGTTTCACACTAACCGCACTCCTGACACCAATGTAACGTTTTTTAACTGTTCGTAGTGTGAATTAAAACACGCACTGGTTAATTAACGAACTAAACTATTTATTTAATAACTTAACTACACTTAAAACACTATAAAACTAACTAAACACTTAACTACTAATTATTTATATCACTACTAGTTTATTTATTTGCACTTATATTTATTTATTTCTTCGCGCGTACCAAAGCTCAACTGACTCTCCCAGATGCGTCGTTTCTTATATATTCAGCGCCTACTTCTTCTGGAACATTCCAGCGAGCTCCACACTCTCGATTATTCGAGCGCTGAGTCACCGGCGATGACTCACCGGCGATGACTCATCAGAGATGAGTCATCACTCCGATATCCAGAGCGGTACTCGCTACAATATTATATAACTTCTACAACCTAACGCAGAAAAAACTCCCATTGTAATTTAACTAAAATACACAAAACAAACTTGGCGCGCGCCAAGTTTGGCCAAGGCGCCTTTCACAAGAAAAAAATCTATATTAAGTATTGATTTAAGGTAATGAATCTATTTTTTATTTAGCTAAATAGGTAATCTCATTTATAATTAAATTATGCATAAAACAGTTGACATTTTAAACTTTTCAACGTTCTGATTAAGCGTTCATTTTCTTTCAAAATACTCGTGCGCGCACTCTGTGTGCATATGTTGTCTCCTGTCTACAATAACGTTGCTTGGGAGCCGTCTATAAAGTACGTCACACCTTTTTAGTGGATTTCAGACACCCCCTCTCCCAATGTCACGCATAATAGCACACAATGTCACAAAGTCTTCACCTTCCAGGAGCTGCCCCCTAAACGTGTGACATACTTTATGGACGACCCCTTGTGAGCAACATTTTTTGGTATTCTGAGCCCCTGGAGTTTTCCGAACTATATAGTTCGGACCAAAATTTAAAATGCATGTTTCGCCCGGGATTATCACCGCGAACAAAGCTAACTGTTACCTGTTTACAGCAATATGGAACTATTTAAAAAAGCCAATATACAATCAATGCTTACTATTGAAAAAGGAATTAAAGATGAACTGATGAAACCGGCGAACGAAGAGACGGCTCTAAGGCAAAGACAAAAGCGCGACAAAGAAAGCATGGTAAAAATGAGCTCAAATGTAACAGAACAATTGCTAACAATCAGCAGACAATTGGCAGAAACGACGCAAAGAAGCGCCGACACTTTGGATACGCTGGTGACGTCGTCGGACAGCGTGGTCGGCACACAGGAAGAGTTGAAGGTCACTTCCGGTGTCATAGGCCAGTCCGGACAGTTGCTCAATAAGTACGGGCGCAGGGAGCTGACCGATAAAATTTTGACTTTCCTTGCCTTCGCGTTTTTTATCGCTTGTGTATTGTATATCGTGCAAAAAAGATTGTTTTAGATTTCAAGTAAATACATAATTTATTCCTATTTATTGCTGATGCGTTTTTTATTTATATCTTCATTAAAAATCTGTACAGATCCATATAAAAATTGTTTAGAAAACGTGTTATCATAGAGTTTTAGAATTAGCCTTGTGCTTATTTTATTAATTATAATTACGCGGAAAATATTGCTTAATACGTATTATTATCAATTTCTTTTCTATATAAATAAATCTGCAACGAAATTTAATCAGTTTGTTAAAATCCATAAACACAGTAGGTATATATACTGATATCTTCCATCTGAAAATGAATTTCATTGCAATTTTGTTTTTGTGCTTCCTTATAGTATATAGTGTGAATTCTCAAAATTTCTACCAGCCGCCCAAAAAAAACCATGGTAGAAAATTGGGGGGCTCGCAGGGAGGACGTGGGAGGCATAAGGACATCTGCAGGATGCATGCTATAGATTCATACGCTTTTCCTGGAAAAGTTGGAAACCCCATTTGCCCTTACTAAAATAAAGATTAGCATTCCTCATGTGATAAATTTTTATTTTGTGGATTATAAGGTTATATTCATTTTTAATTGTTATATGTATTTTTTATCCTGTAAAATGTAGAAATATTTATGTAATAAAATGTTATTTTTAATTATTGTATTTTTATTTTGTTGTTAAGTAATTGAGGAGGTGCAAAACTCGGCTTATCCATATTAGTTGTTGAGCAAAATGTAAAAAACCTTACACATGAGTACTAACGCATATCAGGCCAACAGAATACTTTTTAAACAAAATAAGTATATAGTCATAAGTAAAAAAAATTATATATTACCTAGATTAAAAACTTATAGCTCCAATTTAAAATAGTTTAAAATTACATACATATAAGCCGAGTTCTGCATGATATAACCAATAGATAAGGCAAGTTTTGGAACGATCGATAGTCAATTTGTAAATGAATTTTAAATGGAATAAAGTGAGTTTTAGAATATTTGAACTTCTTAGGGTATAGGGGTATACATGTTAAGTATACAAACACCACTAACTCATTTTTATTAAAAAGTGGATAAGCCGAGTTTTGGAATGGGCCTCCTCAATTGTTAGTTAATTTGGTATAATTTTTAAAAAATATATTTTTTTATGCGTAATAGATATTATTAAATTAATTAGCAATAAATATAGAAACTTTCAAATTTATACGAGTATAAAATAAAAATATGTAGGTATATTATGGTTGAAATATTCTATAAAACTACATTTTAGTTGCATTAATTTTTATTTAGAAATGTAGGTATTGCTTTAATTTGACTATTTAAAACAAATTCAATTTTGTATTAATATATACAAAATACTTGGCAAATACCTATTATATCTAACATCAGTCTATTTCAAATATATAGGTATCTCTGGTCTATTTGCTTTGAATGTGTTATTCCCCTAATAAGGGCAAACAGGGTTGCCAATTCTTCCAGGAAACGCATAGGAGTCGATTGCGTGCACCCTGCAAATAGCCTTGTATCTTCTATTTCCGACCTCTGGGTTCCCGTAGCTTCTCCCATGATTTTTCCTAGGCCTGCTATTTCTATAATAATTAGTATTGGTTGCGGCCAGATAATCCATCAACCCATAGGCGTTCACTTGGATTATTATAAAAATGCACAAAAATAACACTGTGATGAGTTTTAGAAACATTGCGTTGGTTGACTGAGCTTAAGAAGAGATATTTAAGTACTGTTTATGTGATTGTGATGTATGTGCCTTTATAGATAAAAATGACGGACGCAAGCGCGCGTTTAAAATTAATCAACGAGAAGAGTTGTTTTTAATGTTAAGGTCGATATTCTTGTCTGCAAATAATTATTACTTTTGTATAGGGGGATTTTTTAAGTATAGGTGCGCGTTTTAAATGTCCTTGTTGGTGTTTCTTTTTTTAAGGAAATAATTTTAATCATATAAAATAAAAATAAGCACAATAATAAAGAGTTATTTTTTATATCAACAACAGGATATACTAAACAAAAACGATATATACACCTACAGTTTCATGTTTTTGTAGTACCAAATAAATAAAACATTATTTGATTATTAAAGCATTGAGTAACATTTTACTCAATGATTAAAGTTTGTTAATTCAGTTAAAATTATTGGAAAAGTAAACATTAAAACAAAATAAAAATCTAAATATTAAGAAATACTTAACTTAAAAAAATTTAAATAAATTGCAGGCAGTATAATGTATTTTACCATGGTAAAATTTAATTGATGGAAAGTAAGTCTTACCTAACATTTAAAAAAATATCCTTTAAAGATTATTTGTCTTAAACGGTTTGTACACAATAAGTCCTTATTTGGTTGTCTATTATACCACTCACAGAATCGCAGATTTCTATTTGGATTTATTGAAATATTTACATTTTATTGGATTTAATTAGAATCTTTGTCACGCCATAAAATAATATTAATAAACACCGAAATATATTAATATTCCAGGCAAATATATTTAAGTTGCTACAAGACTTTTAATTTTAATTTAAAAGTTTGCTGAGTAATAATACAGTAACAATACAATAAATCTCAATTAAAGATTTTAACTAATACAAATCATTTTCCATGTGGACATATGAGTGTAGCTGATGAAACTGCATGTACTCTACAAATAGATCTGTATCTATTGGCTCCTCCACTGTATGATCTTCCATTATAATGTTTTGGTTGGCGATTTTCAAATAATAACCCCCAAAAAATTGGAGAACACTTCACAATTATTACAATGCAAAGAAGTATTACCACTGTTAAATATTTCATTTTGTGGCTTATATTACTATGGCGGATTGAAAACTAAAGAAAATATGTATAAGGAAGTTTCATTTATATTAGCTATATGCGTTAGAAAATTTGTATTCATGTCTTGAGCTTTAAATGTATGATTTTATCTTAATTTATTATATTGTGAGTATGTTTACAATTGTAAGACCCACTGTTGGAACAAAAACAACACATATAATATAGTCGTTTACTTCATAAATATATACAAATTGCATAAATATATACGCATTGTGTTTTACACATACCCTAACAATAAAAAAATTAAATTAAAACACATTACTTCCAAACCTTGATGACCCCATCTCTCGACGATGAAACCAAAAAACATTGCGACGCCTTGCACAAAACCATATCCGTGACAGAGTCCCGGTGTCCCACCGCGGGCGGGTCCGGTCCGGCCCTGTACGTACGGCCTTCTTCGTCCTTATCCTTAACCCTGACGTTGCAATTTTCAAAGATGACTTGCGTGCCATCTATGAGCCGAGTTTCGTAGGTCAGCGAAACGCCTGGCGGGTCGCTGGCCGCTGGGATGGCCAGATATGAGTCGGAAGGACCGGCCAGGTCCCAGAAACGCACCCTTTGATCGGTGCCGCCGGCCAACAGGAAGGGAGATTTGTCTATGCATCCGGCTAAAAGTGCACAGACGCTGTGTGGAGAACCCTAAAAAAATTCCTATTCTTGGAAAATTTGTTCTTTCAAATTTTTTTATTATTAATACACAAGTATTTGCCCAGTATTATTTTAAAATAAAGCATAAATATTTATTAAATGTAAATATAGGTGTATATTTAAAAAAACGGTTAACTATGATAAATATTTATAAATTGATAAAAGTCCCAGATGCATCATCATTCATGAATCATTTATTAGAATAAAAAATAAATATAATAAGAAGTTTAAAAGAATGTTGACCTTGTTAAATAATATATCATATATTATGTGTTATTTTATACGGCGTTTCCTTGTCTATGTGTTTGCCAGTGTCCACAATTTAATCTTGGAACCGTACACGCTTTAACAAAGTTTACATATATTTATTACGTGCGCTAACTTTAATAATCGATTAATCCCCAGGAATGGACCAGTCAATTGGCCGCCTCGTTTGTGCGATTTACCGCCTTTATTTTTTCTTTGGGGCTATCAAGTCATTGGTCTATGCCAATAAGCCAGACGTTTAGACGATCCTATAGGAGTCCTAAGTTAGGACCAACATTAAACGCGAAATTGCCTGATTATCAGCCACTTTATGCTAACAATTCATGAAAAATTGGGTTCAGCAAATGCACTTATGGAAGCGCAACTGTGGAGGACATTTGAATGTTGTTGTATTCCATAATTAATGGTATCAACTAGGGGTGGGCAAAATAATAAATATTAATAGATTATCATTTGAATGTTGTTGTATTCCATAATTAATGGTATCAACTAGAGGTGGGCAAAATAATAAATATTAATAGATTATCAAACCGTTGATTATTTTTTTTGTAATATTCAAATAATCGATTAATCAAATAATTATCGATTATTGATTAATCGATTATTTGATTAATCAATTAATTACTAATGGATTATTCGATTATTTTATTATTATGATTATAATTATTAATATTTTAAATAAAAAATGAACGTATACTTTATCAGCATTTTTAGTTATACAGTATGCCCAATATTTAATTTATTATAATAATAATAATTGCTATAAATAAAACAATCAAATATGTAAATAGAAATAATATGACCAATTAAGCATTTTTATTTAACGAAACAAAATAAAAATAGTGATTTTTTAGAAAACGCATTTTTATGATTTATGCTGGGTTTAAAAAATGCTGCTAAAAATTTTAAACTTGTATCCAATGCATAATTTAGGTCATTAGTATTTAAAAACAAGACAATTAATAATTTAATCGATTAATGAGTAATTGATTAATAAAATAATCGATTAAATAATAATTGGTTAATCAAATAATCGAAAAAATCGATTATTTTAGATAATCAATAATTATTATAATCGATTATGAATTTCAATAATCGCAAAGCCCAAGTATCAACCCAAATAACATTCGTGGTTTTCATTTCAAACTAACACAATGAAAATCATTATTTAAGCTCAAATGCATACGGGATGATGTATCATATAAACGTGACTTAAATAAGTTCATAACGCGTTAGTGGTCTCGCTTTTTTAGGGAATTTTTGACCCCCCTCCCCCTTTGCCACGTCACAAATTCAAAAAACTAATAATTGAATGATCATACAAATTTAAGGTACCGGTTGTGCTAAAAAAATTTTTTTTACATTTTTTTATTTTTAAAATGAGAAAGTGTACCTCAAAAACAAGATTCATATATTAGTCACTGTCTACTCTAAATTTGGAACACTCTAATATAGTCACATTAATTTTTATTTTTGAACAAGTAAATTCTGAATAAAAATAAAAAAAAAACAAAAATGTATTTTCTCAAATTTCCAAAATTTTCAAAACATTTAACAGCAGAATGAATTGGCATAAATTCGAATTCTTTGTCTTTTTTCTTTTCAGATGGAAGAATTATTCCAGTCTAATCCAGATTGTCTTCTTTGAACCAGTCTACGTGACGTCAAAATCGCCATCATTTCTCGTTGCCGCTTTGCTGTTACTATATTTTTGTATCCTTCGATTTTTCCGTGTGTAAAACTCGGTGTTTTTGAAGTATTACTTTTGAAGGCATGTTTTACAAATTCTGGATTCTAAATCTGTCTGTACTGACGAACAAAATGAATCATAAGGAATAACAGAGGGCTCAGCAGATTTTTTTGTAAATTGAGACTTTTTGAAATAAACAGCAATGGGAATTTAGCATTTGAACTGCCTTCTAATTTGGTCCGCGAAGGAACTTTTAATTCATATTCTGTTTGTTCAATAGGAATGGGAAGGGCAGAAATCGTTCCGACAAAATGTTGAAAATTGAGCTTCTGGGTCTCGAACAGCAACATGTATAAATACATTTTAGTATCTGGGTAAAATATTGTATTGTTCTGACATGCTTTCAAATCTTTTTGGAAAATTTACCAATTTTACCTGTAATTGTTATATAAATATTATATATATTAGTTTGGTTTGAACACAAAATATGGATAAAAAATATTTAATTTTGAAGAAAATAAATATAGAAAATCCTTTTTATAATAAGTAAAAAAAACGAATTTCGGACGTCACATTCTCACGAACCCCTTCACACCCCCTTGTCACGAATGGTCACGTTTTGCTAGACCCCTCCCCCCTCCTAGAGCGTGAGTCCTTTATGGACGACCCCTTAGTAAATTTTACTAATAACAATACGTATGACTATGCGTTATAAAATCGTTTGAATTTAAATCCCAGCAGGTCCTTTTTTAAGTTATTAAATTAATAAATTAATTATTTTTGTTTTTAATAATAATAAACATCTTTATTGGTTTCCCAACAGGCTATCGACCGTGGTCTTTCTTTGTTTTTATTATTATAAAAATATCGTATTTATATGACACAGGTCTTATTATTAAAAAATAGCAACTTTTTTATAATATTATAGCAGTGGCGGCTCGTCGTATAAAGCAACTGAGGCCGGGCGTCACATGTTAAAATTATAATATAATTTGAAATGTTAGATACATTACTTACACTGTGCAACACCAAAAATCAAACCGAACCGGACTATTTTTTTCTGAAAATATACCTATCCAATAGCAAAACCCTCGCTGGGTTTGTAAAAGTTAGCTCGATTTATTTTTTTATGGCCGTTTGTATTTTCTAGCTTCATATACCCCAATTTAGACTTATTAATCAATTTTTTTTGCATATATTCGAATTATATCGTCAAGATTTTTTGTAGAAATGTAGTTACTGAACAAATAAACCCATTTTATGAACAACCTATATCCCAAAACCCAAATTTTGGAGTCAATATGTCGCTAAAAATTCATTTCCATCATCGCCATTTGGACTACTTCAGTCGACAGTTATCGACACAATCATCAAACTGCGATGCCATTTGAGTCCAGATAAAGAGGAAAACGAGCTCCAGATGCCATACTAGCCGAAACATTTTGGTGAAGTAAACATATTTTTGACTACGATCAGAAAGAAAATGAAAAACAAGAAAATAAAGGAGAAGAAGTGGAAGGGATGAAATTCTCCAGTGATGAATCAAAAAATGAAAATGAAGAGCAAACAAATAAAGGAAAAGAAGTGAAAGGGATGATGCAGATTACAGTTTTTTAATAATAAAATTAATACAAAATAAAAAATCAAACTCTCTGTACTTTTCTACAATTCTATTTTATTTATTCAATTTTTTCCTACAGATTTTTCGTAAGTAATATCATAAGGGCATTTAATTTTTCCGAAAAGAATCGAAAAAACACGTTGCTAAGTAATATTTTAACAAAAAGCATGAGTGCTGGTGGCAACAAAAATCCGAGTCGAAGAGGAGGATTTTTGCACCTGCACGAATGCATTTTGTTAAAAAATATTACTTAGCATTGTGTTTTTTCGATTTTTTTCACAGGAAAAATTAGATGCCCGCGAATGGTATTTGACAAGACTATTTCATGAGTAACAGTTAACAATTAAAATATAAATTGCAATTTTTGGTGACAACAGCTGTCAAGTTTTGCCGCGGGTAAACTCGAAAAAACTGCTGACAGGTGCTGTCACACAGTTTTTTCACCTAGAAACCATTTGTAATTCAAAATTGCGCGTTTGTGATTGGTGGTAATTAAGACGAGGGAAATAGTCGGCAAAATATTTGGAGTTGAGTGTGAAAAGATGAATATTTTGGAAATTCTTGTTTAAACATTATTTTCCAGCAAATAAGCAAACTTAAAGTTCAGTTTTGTGTGCGTATTTTATAAATTACTTCTTTTAGTATACTTTACAACATTTTTGCCAGAAGAAGTAGCAAGAAATTTTAAATATTATCAAAAAAATTAAAAAAAAATATTTTCGAAAAAAATTGGGTTTTTGGGATAAAGGTTGTTCACAAAATGGGTTTATTTGTGCAGTATCTACATTTCTACAAAAAATCTTGACGATATAAGTCGAATATATGCGAAAAAAATCGATTTATAGGTCTAAATTGGGGTATATAAAGCTCGAAAATACAAACGGCCATAAAAAAAAATTCGAGCTAACTTTTACAAACCCAGCGAGGGTTTTGCTATTGGATAGGTATATTTTCAGAAAAAAATGGTCCGGTGCGGTTTGATTTCGATGACCCGAAAATTGTCGCACAGTGTTATTTAAATATAAAACGTTTTTAAACTAATTTCCAGTCATTAAAACTTTTAATTTTAAAGTATCAAACCATCGAATAACCATCAAAGTTTAAAATATTTCCTTTAAATTTAGCGCGCACCCCTTCCAACTTTAATTCTAAACGCTTAAATCATTGCCCGACCGCATAATAGGGAAATAGTAAGCCCCGAAATTTGCGCTTCATTTACGTCACACATTGCCGATACAACGTCATGCTCCCCACCGCTGCACGGTGCCGCCGGCACCCCCGCAAGGCGGGGATAATACGCGAATTTTTGTAGACATTGAGGCCCACAAAGTTGGGCTTGTACCACACAGTGCTCGGATATTCGAAACCGTGTTGACGTGCTTACTTTGTCTTGCATAATCTGCTCCCGCCGTC